GTGAGCTTTGGGTCTGCTCTAACCATGGCTCTGCTCGGGTTAATTACAGAACAGGCTCAGTCTGAGGAGAGATGACATATTTCTCTAAATGGAGGTCTGTTATTTTTACAGTCAGCGGGGTGTAATGTCCTCTGGGTTTCCTCATGTTTTTCATTGACCAGAGGGATTGGGCTGTTCCTGGCGGGGATGATTCACATAAGAGATTACCAAATTACCATCTCAGTGCCCCATTCACAGCTATGCACATTCACACTGGGAGGATGAAAATCTACTGCAATGTTATGCTTATTTTGGTGACTTGTTTACACGAGCTTAAAGGTATACTTTAGTGAACCTTTTTAAAATATGAACATAAAATATTGCAGAGTCTGTGGTCTATCTTGTAATGCGCTTTACAGGCTTGTCAAAGCCTTTCAAAGCGCTTCACTGTCATCACAAGTCATTATTCATTCACTCCGCTCTCTGTGGTGGTTTAGCTGGCTGCCCTGGGGTAGACAGATGGAAGAGAGGCCAATACAACCACCAATACATCACACAACATATTCTTAGTAGGCAATGAAGTGTCTTGCCTAAGGACACAATAAACTGAGCAGCAATCAAACCTATGAACCTTGAGTTGATGGATGAGTGATGTAACTTTAACATAAAATATTGACACTACATTACACAAAATAAATCATTTACCAAAAGGTACGTTTCTGCAAAGTGGAAGAGTGTCAAAAAGGCTTTGAAAGTGAAACAGAGTGAAACAAATGAGTAAAAAACCTGCTCATTCATTGCATTTCATATCAACAATATGGCACAGTTGTTTCATTTAGTAGCAGAGAGAATCACTAGGGCTGGGTATCATTAAGAAGTTGCTGATACGATACATAGGCCACGATACAACACACACCTCCATACAGTGCAGTTTTGGTTCGATGCAATAGATTTCAAATCAATTCAATATGGGTCAATAAAAAAATTATGGCTAAATGATGGCTGTGATACTAAAAGTCTTTGTTAAACCACTTTTTGTGCAAAGTTCATATGAAACACAAACATTTTAGTCACTCAAAACAGTGAAAATGTCAAATGTGTTGCATAAACGAGTTTCCTTCCACTAAACAAGCAACAAAACTGTAGCGCTGTAACAAAATTATTTAGCATAATATACCAAAAAAAAAAACCTCTTGGCGATATATCGATACAGCAGCCGACGATATCGATACTGTATCATCACATTAAACGAAACGATATATGACACAAGGAAACAACAAACTGAGAACCTCGAGTTGATGGACGAGTAATGCAACTTTAATATCATATACTAACACTACATTACACAAAATAAAACAAATAATTGAACTAAAGCTACATTTCTGCAAAGTGAAAGACTTTCACAAAGGCTTTGAAAGTGAAACAGAGTGAAACTAATGAGTAAAAAAAAAAAAAATCTGCTATTTTCCCAGCCCAAGAACTGTCTAATTTACACAGTGTAATTACGGTAAGTATGACACATGCTTCCCCAACAACACATAAAGTCTAAATACAATAACAGAGCAGAGAGAGGCCTTAGAGTCAAACCCAAGGACACCCACTGAGTAATTATGCCTATTGTTGCTCCTTTCCGGTCCCCATGTTAAACCTCCATGCGAGCTGGGTTGCTTAGCTTCTATCTGATATCGAGTTGACAGCTTATCTCCATCTGTCTGCCCCAATGTACATAAACACGAATAGAGCACAATCACGTCAAATCCAACTACCAAAACATTACAAGGAATTTTAAACGCATTTCCTGAGTCCTTATATCAGCTTTGAAAACCTTATTATCGCTTCTTGTCAACTATGGAGTTGGACAAAAAAAGTCAAAGTGTCACTAAAAAAGAACAAAAACAAATTATTCAGGGTAGGTTGAGTCTTCCCCCATGAGTCAAGTCGTGGAGGACGTGTTTTTTTTTTTCCTGGTCCGTGTTGTGTTAGACGATAGCATCAGCGCTAACAGACACAATACGGGAGGCTCCTACAGGAAAGCTGAGAAAAATACAGGAAGTCGACGTGTTTGTGAGGGGGCTACAGATTGTTGTCAGCTGTTACAGCATCTGTGAAGTTGGGGTCCTGTTTACTTTATTTGCAACAGTAAAAATAGCCAGTTGTCCTTATTTTGGGCTACTAACGAGTCATATAGGCAAACTAACTTCTGTATGAAGAACTAAATGTTACAAATTGTAAGGTAGTGACTAGAGATGGGCATTCCATTAAATTTTCTTAATCAATCGTAGGGAGAATTAATGATTGACTTTTCGATAAATCATTAACGTTTTTATATTAAAATTATCAACATTATTACTATTACTAATCTGCATAAATAAACTAAACTTTACAACATATAAAACATAACCACTCTAGAGCCACATCAGCTGTTTGAGATTATAATGTGTTTAATGCAGCTTTGACACATTTGTTTACGTTTGAAAAAAACAAAACTTAAAACCACGTGGCTCATTTCATAAACTATAAGCGCTGAAAAAAAAACAGCTCTTTCCTTGTGCGCTGATGCGGTTCAGCTTCTGTCAGACTAAAGGACACGACTCAGTGGAATATGAGTGTCTCTGTGACAAAGGGACGATGTTGATGATGATGATGATGATGGTGAGTCTGTTCTGTGTGTGTGTCACGTTGGAGATGGTTCATGTTTTCAGAGATCAGACGTGTGCAGGTTTAGTGCAGCTCTTTATTTAACAGACATTTCACTCACTTTATTTATTTTGGTCACTTTATTTATTTTTGCTACTGTTGTGATGAAAAGACTGAAAAGTGTTTGTCTTTTGGACACATGTGACTCTCAACTTTATGTTGCAGTAACCGGGATACTGCGTCTACATGCACCGTGACGAAACCAGGATACTCAAAAATCCCGATCATACCCGGGACAATGATGTGCATGTAAACACACTCAGTGAGTGGTACAGTGTCTCCAAGGAGCCAGAGCTCAAACATGGGACTGTGAGGCCACAACTCCAGTGTTTGTGCTGTCAGACGCAGCCTTGTCTCCTTACACTACGCCCAGCAACCTACATTCAGTTTGTCGATTAAAAATGAACATGATAGACAAAATTCTTAATGAGCAATTATCGATCAGTTGACTAATCATGCCCATCCCTAGTAGTGACGCATATATGAAAAAATATATAAGTAATGTCTGAAATCCCATAGCTGCACTGGCACAGACTGACGGAAGTGTGCTCGCAAACCTCTTTGACCAAATCAAATGCACATTCATAAAACATTCATACATGCAGGCTGGTATAGATACAATAGAATAATTAAATTTTGTTAATATATGTCAGTTTCTGCAATAGATAAACAGCAAAATGAAACATTTTAATAGTTGTAGTTAGAGTGTATTTATAATCAGTCAAAGAAGTATTATTAAACTGTCAAATCTTAATGTAGTACTGTAAAATAACAAAAGTACCAGACCAAGTACCCGTAATTAACATGGCTCGCCCCAAATATTGTCCCACCTTTGATTTATGGCACAAAATGAAGTCGATAGAGTATTTATCGTGACAGGCCTAGCATCCCCCTTAGTCATCCATCTGGGGACATTTCCAAAACTGAATGAGTGTTTGGGCGGGCAGTTTAGAGGCATTCACTTGACAATGTTATAAAAAATCTTCAGAAAACAAACCTCAATCATTCTCAAAACAATGACACATAACCACACACTTGCTCTTATAAACACACACTTTTCACTGCAGTGTCCCGTCGGCCAAACTCAAATTAGCCCTCTTCGTTCCAGGAATGCTCCCCAACTCTTAGCACGAAATTATGTCATCCGCCCCGTTTACCATCACCACGTGTTTGCTGCGGTCTGGAGGCGCTGTCTGTTTATGCCATTGGCTTCCCTGTAGATCCAAACGGAGCTATTTTGATTAATGTTAAAGTTGTAATTATATAGTATGTGGATGTTTGAGGACGCAATGTTAAACTCTGTCCCCACAGTGCAGGCCATTGTGCTGTTCTGGACACATTGTTTTCTGTGTAAACAGCACACAGATATAAAAAAGGATAAAGGCATACACTAACTAAAACTAGGTCAGGTATTATTTATTGCTACTGTATATGTTGCTTTTTATTATGGCAGTATTTAAAGCCCTACCGTGTAACGTTTTAGCAATAAAAATAGACAAAAATAAAAGCACATTTTTTTAGACTTCAGATGTTTTTATAGCACTGAAAAATGTGCGTCTCTACTATAAATGGGCTTGCATCTCCACAAACCTGACTATTACTTGGCCTGGAGGAGGGAAGCACATTTTATTACACTTTTAATGTTTTTATAGCACTGAAAAATGTGCGTCCCTGCTATAAATAGGCTTGCATCTCCACAAACCTGGGTCTTACTTGGCCTGGAGGAGGGAAGCACATTTTTTTTAACACTTTTGATGTTTTTTTGACACTGAAAAATGTGCATCCCTGCTATAAAACGGCTTGCATCTCCACAAACCTGACTCTGACTTGGCTTGGAGGAGGAAAGCACATTTTTTTGGGATATTTTTATAGCAGTGAAAAATGTGTGTCCCTCCTATAAATGGGCTTGCATCTCCACAAATCTGACTCTTACTTGGCCTGGAAGAGGGATGCACTTTTTTTTTTTACACTTTTGATGTTTTTATGACACTGAAAAATGTGTGTCCCTGCTCTAAATGGGCTTGCATCTCCACAAACCTGACTCTTACTTGGCCTGGAGGAGGGAACCAGCTTGTCTCCATGGAAATGTTGTTCCTTTAGCTGTAATAGTCCCATTTAACTTTCTATTAACATGGAAAATTGCAGGTGATGTGCCACCTCTACAAAGTTACACAGTGCAACCTTGTGAAGTTGCTTACAAGTTACAAAAATATCTTTAAAAATCCATCGACAGATGTCTATTGTGGCATTGACTGGCAGCTACCAAATATATCCCATTTATACTAGTGCATTAATAATACTGTGGTAAATCCAAATGACAATACCTGGACTGAACAAATCTGCAGGAACAAAACACATGAAGTCGGCAGCAGCATCTCTCACTTCCTGATCCTCATCCTGCAGCAGCGTGACCAGACTCTTCCACAGAGAAAATGTCGTGTCTAAACCTGGAACATACATGACAAAAGGTAAATTATGAAAGAAATTACACAAATTAAATATTATATTATGCAATTTTTATCTCTATCCATCAAAATTTAAGGTCAGAGCCAAAAAACTACATATACAAGATCAAAATTTGCAATTGTTTAATACAGTTTTACAGTTGTGGTATAGTGTTTGATGACAATCCCAGATACCAAGATCCCAAATCATGAAAAGTGTAAAGCTACTTTAAGGCGATTTACAAGGGTATTGCATTCTTATTATTTGTATGGTTTCCAAGAATTTTCTATTTTAAAGATCCTAAATTATGCAAAAACTGACTCTTTTGAGCTTTAAGACATGCCAGAATATTACCTCCTCAAAAACATATTATCCTGAGCTGTGTTTTGTGTTTTCTTTCATTCATACATGTTTGAGTGAGTGTTTTCAGAATTCAGCTTAAATATGCAGGGTTTTTGTGGTAAACATGTGTGAATGAAATAAAACACAACTTCAGATTTTTTTTTACTCCAGAGTAACTGAGGTTAATGTCTGTATTGAAGTTGGTTTGTGCGTAAGGACAGACCCAGAGGCAGACGGGGGCTTGTGAGGACAGGAGCTGTGCACTGGACCAGGACTTTAGACACCATCATCTTGACCTCCACAGGCTGCTCCTCACTGCAGCACGAGCACACCAGAGCGGCCCACTCAGAGAAACATGAGGCTGCACTGCCATCCTAACCACACAAAGACAGGATATTATACGATTAAAATAATAAGATACTTTGCAGCTGTGTCACCCACATTCCTTGGGGGAGAGGCTCTGTTTGAGGCTTTGTTAACACTAAGATAAGACAATAAGATGATTTTGATGTTAAACAAGACCAGGGTTCCCACTCTTTTGAACTGACAAAATTTCAAAACGTTTCCATGACTTTTTCATGACCTAAAGTGAATTTTCCGTGACTTTACGGCACCTACATGTGTAGAGTTGATCAGACTTTTAGGGCTAAATATTAAATGTTAACCCTTTCCACTCAACTTATGGTTTGGTATTATAGTTTTTTTAACATTCAAAATACTGTCAGTGCATAGAAATAATCATAACAGCCTAATGAGAACATAACAAAATGCTGTAGTTGAGTGAAAGAGATACTAAAATTCCATGACTTTTTCAAAACTTTCATTGAATTTACAAAATTCCATGACTTTTAGAGGATTTCCATGACAGTGGGAACCCTGCAAGACCCTCACACACAACATTACAGTCACAAGCAACCAAGCATTTGCCAACAGTATTTAATTTAGTCACTCTCACCTTTTTGCTGAAAATCAAACACCTAAACAGGACCTTGAATGTTTGTATTGATTACATGCTCCTGAAAATGTGTTTCCAGACATTCTTAAGACTTTTTGACTGTGTTTCCTAATGTGTGCATTGTGTCTTCATGATAACTGCTGAACAATACACCATACACTTACATGTAGAACACCCCCAGTGTGATGTCACTGCAAAGTATCAATATATAATATTTATGTCAGAAATATAAGACTCAAACATATATACATTTTCCTCCTCAATTCACTAGATCTGTTTATTTCTAGATATGTTGAACTCAAAACTGGTAGCAGAAAAGTTACATAGAGCACCTTTGAGTTTAACAAAAAAGAAAAAATATAAGTAAGAAATATATATTCCTGTTGTCTTTTATACTACTACTAATTTCATGCATTTAATTTCATTTATGTATTAATCTTGAGCAAGTAAGCAATTCACATTCTTTTACAATGGAACAGAGTATTATCCAAATGGCATTAGCGCAATCATAACAGAAATAACATCAAAAAAATTTAAAAACGTATTTAATCCCACCCTGTCTCCTAATAAATCACAGTATCCTTGAACCAGATTGTCCTGCTACACCCTGCTGGGCTCTCATTCATGCTTAGGTCAACTGCAATGTCATCCTCAGTGAACAAAGAAAACTAAACACACTCCATTTAAAGCCAATGTTTACCTGAGGGTCAGAGGTCACACGCTGAGCCACCAGCTGAGAGAGGAGAGTGAGGGCAGCACAGTGGAGCTCCACACTGCAAGATAAAGAAACAAAAAGCATGGTAAAATATGTCAAGATTTCAGAATTTCGACTTTTTAAATTTACTTACTTACTAGACTTACTTAGACTAGATTAAATTATTACATTGTTGTTGTTATTGATCCGTTATAGACTTTTCCTTCATATTACAAGCCATATGTTTTACCAATTACACTAAAGCCAAAACTAACCAACTACTTAATATTATTTTTACTCAAACTTCAGGCATCCAGTTGCTTTACACTTTAAGATTTAGACACTTTCTGGATAATGTTGGATCAAACTTCCCAGGTTTCTCTTGCAAAAGATATTCCGAATCTCAATGGAACTTTCTGGGTAAATATTAAACAGAGTAAGTACAGAACAGTGGGCGTGTAGGGGGCTGAGTAAAACAGCAATTTTCAGAGCAAGAGCATCTTGAATTCATGAATCACTCAGTCAAAATACAGCTTTTATCAGGTTTATGATGAGGGAAAACTGTTATAAAATGTTAAAAAGCAGCCATTGTGCATAATATAATCCATGTATCATCCGTTCATTTGTTTTTCAATATAAAACTAAAAATAAGAAAACGAAATAAAACAACTGTTTTCTTCATTATTTGTCTCCAAAACCAAAAACGGATAATGATTTGTTTTTTCAATGGGAATAATGGAGTTTCCCATTTCAGTGACTTAAATTGCGATGCCGGACTTTTGTGCCGCATACGGATTGAATCAGGACTAAAACAGGACTAAAACAGGACTAAAACAGGACTAAAACAGGACTAAACTGTTTTCAGTCCCGGTGTCAGTCTCAGTCCGGTCCCGGGCTGGTCCCGGTCTCAGTGCCGGTCAGTGCCGGTCCCAGTGCCGGTCTCAGTGCCGGTCTCAGTGCCGGTCTCAGTGCCGGTCTCAGTGCCGGTCTCAGTGCCGGTCTCAGTGCCGGTCTCAGTGCCGGTCTCAGCCCCGGTCCCAATCTAAGTCCTGGTCTCAGTGCCGGTCTGGTTCCGGTCTGGTCCTAGTCCTGGTCCAGTCCTGTTTCAGTCTGTAGTCCTACATCGCAGTTTAAGTCACATAAACGGGAAACATTATCCGAATTTTCCATTATTCATTTAAACACAAAATCGAAAACTGAAAAGACAAACCATTACCATTTTTTTTCATTTTGGTTTTGGAGACAAATAATGAAGAAAATAGTTGTTTTTTTCATTTTCACATTTTTGGTTTTATATTGAAAAATGAATGAACAAATGATACACAGATTTACTATATCTATATAAATGTAAGATATACAGTGTAGAAATTTGATCAATATGGGTTTTAAGCTTTGGGCACTGATTGAAAAATTCCCTATTACTATTACTACACCCGGCAAACCACAAAAGAAGTGTGCCGCTCCCCACCATGTCATTGCATTTGACAATAGGCTCAGTGTTATTCAATCACATACAACAGGCAAAGACAGCCACCAGCAACCCAATCTGATCCTGCACTGTCTCTAATCATAACCCTCAGGTCTCTCCAAAAAGGAAAGACGATCCCGGGAGCCGAGGTTGTGGCTGGGAGCAGGTTATGTGCTGGTGAAAGGCCTTTGTAACTCTATCCTGATGCGGGACGTTGGCTGTTGTTTTGGGGTGAGAACCGTACAGCGGTGGCCCGTCGGAAAGGTGTGTGTCTGTCGAGGTGTGGGAGTGAACGCACAAATACAGAAGTGTAATGTAGTACGGGACAAATCCGTTAGCGGTTTCAAATGCATGATTCAGAGTCTCATAATAGAAATGGGTTGAATCAGCAGGTGAACAACAGAGGGATTAATCTTAGTAGTCTAGGTTATGTTTATAGTAAATAGAACTGAAAATCTACCAGTACTAGTGATGTAAGAAGGCTGTAATACATTCAAACCAAATAAATGGTTTCATTGAATGGTGTGTGACTCATATGGTCATTACAGGAAAGGAAATTTATAGTAAGAAACAAAAGTACTAGTAGTAGTGTGCTTTGGTTTAGAAAATATTGGCAATTCCAGCGCTGAAAAAACCCAAATGAGTCTGGTAAAGATGTATGGGGTTTAAAAACACAGTGGAGCCCTTCTTATATTACCACATAATATCACAAGGTGGAAAAGTTTTCAGTTTGAGAGAAGTACTGTATTTTTTGGACGATAAGTCACTCCGGAGTATAACTCGCACCAGCCAAAAAATGCATAATGAAGAAGAAAAAACAAATAAGTTGCACTTTTTGGAGGAAATTTGTTTTATAAAATCAGAGACCAGGAACCGACATTTCATCTTGAAAGGCAAGTTATAGTAATAACAATAGAACAGAAAACAACAGGCTGATAATGTAACATATTACCAAACTCTCCATCTCACTCCAAATCACGAAATCCACTGAATTCTTCATCCTTGGTGTCACTTCTGAGCAACTCTATGACCTCTGGAGGTAAATAAAGCGCTCCTTCCTCTTCTATGTAGCTGTTGTCAGACTCAGCATCAGTTCCGGTTAGAATTATTCCGGCCTTTTTGAATCCCGACAGGATGGTTTCGGTTGTCACTGAAGTCCAGGCTTTGTCGCTCCAGGAAAGTTGGACGGTGCACCCTCCTGGTGTCACAAGTTTCCCACTCACTCCAAACTTTCTTTCTGCTGCTCGATTATTGTTTTCAGCTGAATATTTTGCTACTTGCAGCTTGTTATCAGCTTGAAAAAATATGATTTTGTTTTTGGGGGCATTTGTGTTCAGTCTTCTCAATTGTTTTTATAAGTTTGTTTAAATTTTAATTTTCAGTGGTACAGAAGTAATGGTGCGATTGACTGACATGATACAGCAGCTCTTTCTGCGCAGTAGAGCCAATAGACAGTGGTACAGGAGTAATAGGAGCAGCAGATACTGACACACAAGCCTAGAGCCTCTCACAGCTTCAGTGTGAACATTTTAACATATAAATCGTACTGGAGTATAAGTCACAGGACCACCCAGACCATGAAAAACAGTGTGACTCATAGTCCAAAAAATATGGTACTCAGCTTATATACAGTACATGCAAGGTTAAAGATGTGTGAATGAAAACATAAGTCAAGTTATGTTTCTGACGAGGAAACCACATCATAACATAGATCAGAAAATAGCGTAACATGGGCCCTTTAAAAATATGTATGCTTCTCTATACGTTTTCATGAATTATTAGGTTTTCATATTGAGGTCACATATTTATCTATCCATCAGGCTGGTCTTACATCACACTTACTCAGACTATATTTTACAGTGGTTCAGTAAAACAGCTCTTGTGCCGCTGACGGAAACAGTGAGGAGGTGGTTTGTAAAAAGGATCAGTTAGACCCAGGTGCAGTCGCTGACCCGGGACGTCCCCCTGCATGGACTGTGGCTCTGAATGAGGGGCGCACAGTGTACCCCATCCATCACAGAAAAGAGAGAGAGAGAGGAGGGAAAGAGAAGAGGTGAGGAGGGGATGTTTGGACAGCAGGTGTGTACAGAAGGAAGCGGGTAGTGCTTTTCAGGTGACAGAAGCGGGAGTTGGATTTCTACTAATGCATTCTTCACAAGCGTTGACTTTTGGGTGTAAAGTTTGGAGCTTTTGTAAAGGTTAAATCCTTAGGTGAGGGGTAAATAAAGAAAGACAAAGTACATACACACAAGCACATTCATTCATGACTGTGCTAGTCCATTCAAATTAACTTGACTTGTACTGATGATTTAAAGGTCTTATGTTACCCAAAATTGACTCTTTAAGCTTTAAGTCATGTTGTAATGTTGTTATAAAGCATATCTGGAGTTGTGTTTTATTTCACTCACACATGTTTGAGTAATTCTGCATTATTAGACTGTCTTACTGCGGCCGGCCAGTGCAAAACACTTACATTTCTCAACACACATTAACAAGTTTGAAAACAAAATTACATTTAGATTACATAACTTGCATCTTGAAAACAAATTCCAAGTTTCATAAAACACAAATGTGCAAACAAATTTACAAAACATTGTGGTGAGTGAACAATGTTTTTCCCCATTTGACAAACAAAACGGATAAATGTCTCCAAACGAACGATGAAGAGAAAAAGGCTCCGACCATTACTAGAAAATGTTGAATGCAATCCATGTGGTACCTACATATGCGCTGAATTTTAACTTCCTGGTTGTATCGCACTTCGTTTGTTACTTCCACTTTTTAAGATATTACCTTTTCAGTCTTGTTAATTTGTTTCGGGGGTTTGTATTTTTTGCATTTTTTTCGTGTTTTTGCCACATGTAAATTTATCTCGGTGCTTGTACAAGTCTTTCATTTATGGTAAATTTGTTTGCGCATTTGCAAATGTGTTTTATGAAACTTGGAATTTGTTTTCAAGATGTAAATGTGTGTTGTGAAATGTAAAAGTATTTTGCACTTGCCACGGCATTGATCTACTAGCCAGGCTGGCACCACCTAGTGCCTCCGCTCAATTTCATTTCTCTCCAGCGACTAGGTCAGGGATCAAAATACACTAGACGGTTCACAAAAACCCCGGAAGTGCGAGTTCGGGCACCAGCCAATGAGCGAAGAGCCATACATTCAGTGTTGTCAACAATTCCCAAGATCAATGATTTAAAGCCGGAATAAAGATAATCTTTTGTGAATTTCATCAAGGGGAAAGACATTATTGTCCTTCTTACTACAGGCTTTGGGAAAAGCTTAATATACCAGTTAGCCCTGTTAGCGGTGCATTGCATAGGTCACGACCGAATAATGATAAAAAGTACCCGCCTACCATCAAGCGAACGAAATCTAAGGCTGCGTGGTCATAGGGTTTGTACGAAGTGAAATGAAGTAAAACCAGCTGATGAATCAGGCTAATTGTCTACATCTCCAAAGCTCAAAATGCTCTGTTAAACCTTGTGGTATCATATAGTTTTCAAGATAATATCTACCTTTCACCTTTAGTTCAGTTGGTAGTAGTTTAGTTTCCAGAGATTGGAAATTCCAGGGCTGAAATTGTTGAAATGATTCTAGTGAAGGTGTATGGAGCTTAAAAACACAGTAGAGCACTTGCTGTATCACTGTTTGACATCACAAGTGTTTTCTGTTTGAGAGAAGAACTCAGCCTAAAAATGTGCAGGATTTGCAAGTTAAACATGTGTGAATGAAACAAAACACAACTCCTGGTCTGTTTTTGAAGAGGAAACATTATAACTTTGATCAGAAAATAGAGTAATACAAGATCTTTAAGCACATAGGAACTGTCCCCTCCACTTTAAACCATTACAAGTGTGTCTATAACAATAAAGATCCTGGAACCTTAACAAGTACCAGCACTTTAAATGTATAAAACAGGTCAACAAACAAAGGGTTCACTGTAGGTAAGACTTCATAAAAACCCTAATGCTTTACTAATGCTCTATAGACAACTGTAAAAAAAAGAAAAGAAAAATAAAGTAAAAATACTGATACTGTTCATCCTTAGTGGAAGTGGAAGTTATAGTATTGTAATTGTTTATCTAAAACATTATTCAACTTTATGAAAACACCACCATACACATTCAGAGCTCATTCATGCGCCCTTATCTAACCTTTGTTGACGATACAGTTCTGGTCAACCAGCATGTTTTGGTATAAACACTTCATAATTTGTTTGTACCTGAAATACATGAATACTTTATTGAATTCTCTCTGTTGTGTTGAGCTCTGTTGTGTTGGGCATTGTGGATCATATTGGTTCCTGTGTTTTGGGTCTGACCTGTGTGCTGAGGTCTGGGCAAGGGACAGCAGGCGTCTCTGGACTTCCTCCTGGGACATGAGCCGGTCCCCGTCCTGCCAGAGGATGGGCCCAGAGGAGCAGAGCGCGCACAGGACCTCCAGGACCTGAAAAGATAGAACGTGCAAAGAACAGAGAGAAACTTGTGAACTTGTGTCTTATCAATTCACTGCGCTTATTGATTTTATTACCTCCGCCAAGGAGGTTATGTTTTTGCTGGCGTTTGTCTGTTTGTTTGTTTGTTTGTTTGTCTGTTAGCAACATAACTCAAAAAGTTATGGATTTTTATAAAATTTTCAGGATTTGTTGGAAATGTGAAAAGGAAGAACTGATTTCATTTTGGGGGTGATCCAGAAGAAATCCTGGATTCTGGATCACTTTGAAATTTTAGTTAACATTGTGGTAAATGGGGCCAAAAATTTTGTTTCTCAATATCTCGGTTAATTATTGACCAAACCCCATGAAATTTGACTCAGGGATGGACAATGGGATCCTCTTTCATATTCCCAAGGCTGATCCGGATCTGATCCAGAAGACTGGTTTTATCACAATTTATATAAAAAATGGGGGTAGTCCTTGGCGGAGGTCTGCGCTCTCTGAGTGCTTTTCTAGTTTACTTGAAACATCCAAATACTTTAGTGTAGGGGTGTAATGATATCCAAGTCTCAGCTCACGATATGGCGGGGAGGCTCACGATTAGGCATGTAACAATATCCAAATTTCTCAGTACGATATTTTCCCAATATACATCTCACGGTACGATATTTATTGTGATATTTTGTGGAGGCTAAACAGCTAAAACTGTTAATATGCTGCTTATTCATCTTAAAAACCAAAGAACTAAGACTTAAAAGTGCTTAGAACTATTATTTCTTCTTGTAGTCTACACTGAAATGGAGCAAAGGATCATGGTCTATGTAGTTCTCTGTCTTTTTTTTAGCTATTGCTGTACCATAACTCTTAATTTAACCAAAGAGACTGGTAATTCGATATATTGTGATGGTCCACGATATTATTGTGAGAACTTTGACGATACGATATCACGATATTTCGGTTATTGTTACATCCCTACTTTAGTGCAATCTCAACTTTTTCATACTGCTTCAGAATTTGGTCGAATTTTGTTTAATTCATTTGGTTTGCAGTATTCAATATTACTTTAACATAAAAACACTTCACAAAGGGATCAGGGTTAGATACTGACAATTCATACGGCGTTTAATATGTGTAAAGATGGACTGTGTAACATATTTAGTTGCCAGTATTGTTCCACAGTATGGCATTAAATTGGTCTTTCTCCATGAAGAAAAGCAGTGCCATCAGGTCAAGTTACAGGTCATATCTTTGGAGAAGTAAGAACGTTCTTCAAAGTAAATTTGTTCAGATATGATTAATCTCAAGCAGGTAGTGTAGCCACCACCAGAAAAGTTACAGTGCAACTTTAAATATTAAGAAATAATTATAAAAATGTTGCTGTTAAAGGTGTCAAGGTGTAAATTTTTCACATTTTTTGTTGTTATTTCTGCTGTGATTTCATTAATGTTGTATGTTCCATTGTAAAAGAATGTACATTTCTTACTTGCCCAAAATAAATACATAAATTAAAAAAATAAAAACATTTGGGGGTCCGTTCTATGTCGTGGCTCTGCTTCAAATGTTCCACAATATGGCATTAAACAGATCTACCTTGCACTATTCAATTACAGGTGGTTTTATTGCTTAAAACACCTACAAAAACAGGCATTCTGACCAGTAACTTGGCCTGGTTTAGTCTCCATGATGACAGAAAGGTTTAATGAAACATGTCACACAAAGCAAGTGGCGGACTCTGAACCAGAAAAGTTACACAATGCACCTTTACGTTGTGTTTTATAGTTAAAATATAACAGTATCCTTGAACCAGACTGCACAGCTAAACCTATGCAAGGCTAGAATGTTATAGACTAACCTGAACACGGACAGAACATACAAAGAACATAGATAGAACATACAAAGAACATAGTGAGAACATGTGAACTTGTGTCTGTCAGTGGAGCTTTGGTGTCCTTTTGCAGCTGCCAAATGCCCGCTTATTTTTACACCGGTCGGATCCTCCCATCGCACGCCCAAACCACGGGTACACAGCTGCCCAGGGCTCACTCAGATACACAGGACATCCCACTGCTCAAGACACTACACGCTCAAATCAAAAGTGACAAGTGTGTCTAATTATGTTTTTATACATTTTACTGAGTTAGCCATTTTTAGTAGTTCTATATATTTTAATGCTTTCTGTTTATTGTTTTATTTAAAGGTCCTATATGAAGCAAAATTGACTCTTGTGAGCTTCAAACCATGTTATAATATTGTAACTCCTCCAAAACAGACCTGGAATTGTGTTTTGTTTCATTCACACATGTTCGAGTAACCCTTTATTATTAGTCTGTCTACATTTGCAAAGCCCAAAATGCTCTGTTCCACCTTGTGATGTCATGAGGCGGTAGTTTTCAAGTTAACATCTCCCTTTTGTTCAGTAGAGATTGGCAATTCCAGGGCTGAAATTATCCAAATGATTTTAGTGAAGGTGTATGGAGTTTAAAAACACAGTGAAGCACCTGTATTACCTCGTGACATCACAAGGTGGGACAGTGTTTTCAGTTTGAGAGAAGAACTCAGCCTAAGTACGCAAGGTTTGTGTTAAACATGTGTAAATTAAACAAAACACAACTTCAGGTATTTTTTGAGGAGATAACAATAGCTAATTAAATAACGTAATATGAGCCCTTTAATATTTACAGTTGTGTTAATTTACCCATGAAACTCTTTGGAAAGGTTTATGAAAAGTGCTATACAGCCTTAAGTGGATTGGACAAGAGATGTTGAAGAAGATAGTAATATATTAGTTCTACCTATGAATAGTTAAAACACCAGTTAAATCTTATCTGTATCAGTATCAAAAAGCCTTTATCCTTAAAAACACAAAATATGAAAATTTTAGGACCTCACTGCAGCCGTTAGAGATAGGGATGACAATTTTCCGATGTAAAGTCAACTGGAGACAGGGTCAGTGAAGTCGGAAGCGCCTCTATGCTCACTTCCTATTTGGAACGAGACAGCTAGTGGGTTATGTCCATTTATATACTGTATTTTTCGAACTATAAGGTGCACTTAAAAATCCTTTAATGTTCTCAAAAATCGACAATGCGCCTCACAATCCAGTGCACCTTATGTATTCATTCTGGTTCTGCTTACTGACCTCGAACCAATTTTACTTGGTACATGGCGCTCAAAAATCTGACAAAATGTTTTAGTACGACTTTGGTAAACTACGAAGCCGCAGCACTTCATGGATTGTCGAAGCATTATAGCGGCCGTAGCCAGGAGCCTCTCAGAGTAAAGGGCGAAGTATAGTTCTGCGTCGACTCAACGCACACTGCTGCCATCACCTTGTCGCAGAAAGAACACACATATTCCAGAGTCATGTCCTTTAGTCCGACAGAAGCTGACCGCATCAATGCACGTGGAGCAAGTTGTTTTTTCAACGCTTATAGTTGTAAATTATCTATGTAGTTTTAAGTTTAGTTTCTGTAAAACATGAACAAATGTGCACAAAGCTGCATTAAACACATTATTACTCAATGTATATTTGAGTCGTCCTCGTAGGAAATAAAAAACAAACTTAAATGATCCACCTACATTCACATTTACAATAAACATTCACCAAGACAGGGAGGCAACGCCGGGCGACTTACGTCACGATCTGCCAATGGATCATGGATGCCTGGACTAAGGGATCAGTCTCAAGTGTCGTCCGTTTGTTTCGCTTAATGCGCCTTATAATCCAGTGCACCTCATGTATGAAAATAGACGAGAGAATTCAACATTATTGATATTGCGCCTTATAGTCTGAAAATAGGGTATACAGTCTATGAACATTTTCAAATTCATCACTGTTCCACTAGTAATTTTCCATCATCAGCACGTTACATTCACACGATATCACTGTACTTCCCCTCTCCTCTACTTCCTTTACCTGATAACTGCTCTGACACACTGGCCCCTGGCTGAGCTTCGGGGGGAGAGCCCTGTTTCGTGCCCTCCTTTTAAAACACACATCCAGCCGAGCACATGTTGACATTCCTACAGCATCTCTCACTGATTATTATTTCTTTCAAGGCCTCAACCTGTTATTATAGCTTTAAAATAAGGCTGGCTTTATGGGACGGGTGAGGGAGGGGTGAGGGGCAGAGACTACACGCAGGTATAAACATTGGTGTGTGCGTGACTGTGTATTTGAGCAGGGGGGCAGTAAAAAGATGAGGTGCAGAAGAGAAGCCCCTCTAGTGTCTCGTGTGTGGATAGTGTGACCCTGTTAAACCCAATACAATAATCATTGGTTTGGCCCAGGCCTGTAAACTGGAACATAAAAACATTTGGTTCAAACAGAGAGAAGAGCAGACGCACTTAGGGATCTACACGGCTTTCTCTGAACATCTTTCTTTATTATTGAAGACTTTTGGCCTCCCTTTAAGTTTGTATAAAATATATTTAATAGATCATAAGGTTTCTAGGATTTCCTTAAAATCATAAGTTGTAATCTGACGAAATCTCACAAATCATTTTCTGTCAAATGGAATACTTAAAGGGCCCATGTTACGCTATTTTCTGATCTGTTATAATGTTGTTTGCTCATCACAGACATACCTAAGTTCAAACTGAACACCTGCCTTCCCACTTTGTGATGTCATGTGGTGATACAGAAAGTGTGCCACTGTGTTTTTAAACTCCATACACCTTCAAGTAAAAAGATTTGGCTTATTTCAGCTCTGGAATTGCCATTTTCAACTAAACAAAAGGTAAAAGTAGCTCTGCCAATCTTAAAACTACCATTACATGACATCACAAGGTGGAACAGAGCATTTTGAGCTTTGGAGATGTAGACAGACTAAAGCTAAGGGTCATCAAACTAAGGACCTCCATGCCCCTTTGACCGGCCCCTCCAGGTCTCTCTGCCCCTCATTACTTGAACTGGCCCTATGAGGCAATCCTCAAAAGCTGCCATGTTTTTTTTTGGCAAATAATATCACGTCTGCATCTTGTATTTTGTTGATTTTTTCAATTTAAAAAT